TCGCAACGTGGTCAATCGCAACGTGGTCAATCGCAACGTGGTCAATCGCAACGTGGTCAATCGCAACGTGGTCAATCGCAACGTGGTCAATCGCAACGTGGTCAATCGCAACGTGGTCAATCGCAACGTGGTCAATCGCAACGTGGTCAATCGCAACGTGGTCAATCGCAACGTGGTCAATCGCAACGTGGTCAATCGCAACGTGGTCAATCGCAACGTGGTCAATCGCAACGTGGTCAATCGCAACGTGGTCAATCGCAACGTGGTCAATCGCAACGTGGTCAATCGCAACGTGGTCAATCGCAACGTGGTCAATCGCAACGTGGTCAATCGCAACGTGGTCAATCGCAACGTGGTCAATCGCAACGTGGTCAATCGCAACGTGGTCAATCGCAACGTGGTCAATCGCAACGTGGTCAATCGCAACGTGGTCAATCGCAACGTGGTCAATCGCAACGTGGTCAATCGCAACGTGGTCAATCGCAACGTGGTCAATCGCAACGTGGTCAATCGCAACGTGGTCAATCGCAACGTGGTCAATCGCAACGTGGTCAATCGCAACGTGGTCAATCGCAACGTGGTCAATCGCAACGTGGTCAATCGCAACGTGGTCAATCGCAACGTGGTCAATCGCAACGTGGTCAATCGCAACGTGGTCAATCGCAACGTGGTCAATCGCAACGTGGTCAATCGCAACGTGGTCAATCGCAACGTGGTCAATCGCAACGTGGTCAATCGCAACGTGGTCAATCGCAACGTGGTCAATCGCAACGTGGTCAATCGCAACGTGGTCAATCGCAACGTGGTCAATCGCAACGTGGTCAATCGCAACGTGGTCAATCGCAACGTGGTCAATCGCAACGTGGTCAATCGCAACGTGGTCAATCGCAACGTGGTCAATCGCAACGTGGTCAATCGCAACGTGGTCAATCGCAACGTGGTCAATCGCAACGTGGTCAATCGCAACGTGGTCAATCGCAACGTGGTCAATCGCAACGTGGTCAATCGCAACGTGGTCAATCGCAACGTGGTCAATCGCAACGTGGTCAATCGCAACGTGGTCAATCGCAACGTGGTCAATCGCAACGTGGTCAATCGCAACGTGGTCAATCGCAACGTGGTCAATCGCAACGTGGTCAATCGCAACGTGGTCAATCGCAACGTGGTCAATCGCAACGTGGTCAATCGCAACGTGGTCAATCGCAACGTGGTCAATCGCAACGTGGTCAATCGCAACGTGGTCAATCGCAACGTGGTCAATCGCAACGTGGTCAATCGCAACGTGGTCAATCGCAACGTGGTCAATCGCAACGTGGTCAATCGCAACGTGGTCAATCGCAACGTGGTCAATCGCAACGTGGTCAATCGCAACGTGGTCAATCGCAACGTGGTCAATCGCAACGTGGTCAATCGCAACGTGGTCAATCGCAACGTGGTCAATCGCAACGTGGTCAATCGCAACGTGGTCAATCGCAACGTGGTCAATCGCAACGTGGTCAATCGCAACGTGGTCAATCGCAACGTGGTCAATCGCAACGTGGTCAATCGCAACGTGGTCAATCGCAACGTGGTCAATCGCAACGTGGTCAATCGCAACGTGGTCAATCGCAACGTGGTCAATCGCAACGTGGTCAATCGCTCAACGTGGTCAATCGGGTCCGTGGTCAATTTGAACCGTGGTCAATCGGGACCGTGGTCAATATCAGCGTGATCAATCGGGACCGTGGTCAATATTAACGTGGTCAATTGGGACCGTGGTCAATATCAACGTAGTCAATCGCAACGTGGTCAATCGCAACGTGGTCAATCGGGACCGTGGTCAATATCAACGTGGTCAAACGGGACGCTCCCGCAATGATGACTTGTCGATTGACAAATGATGGAATAGTTTTTTTTTTATGACATGTTATACATGTATATACAGGGTGTCCTAGACCACCCGTACACCCCTTTTCTTTCAAAGACTAAGTATTTTAGAGAAAACCGTTTTGAACAAAAATTGTATGGTTTTGAGGGGAACATAAGATGGTGTCATTGGTTTGACCTTGGATGGCATCGTTAAAGTCAAGTCAAGGACATCTTTAATTTCTTAAATGTAATTCCCTATTTTTTATTGCATATTCTTATAGCTTATGTCGAGGGCTTTCCAAAACACTATAATAAAGTATTTTTTCATTAAGTACTTTTTGAGTTATTTTATATTTTAATCTGACATATTTTGATATAAAAAATTTTTCTCTAAAATGCTTAGTTTTTGAAAGAAAAGGGGTGTACGGGTGGTCTAGGACACCCTGTATATATATCTCTCTCTTTAGCTTGCTGATATTAGTCGACATCCCCCCCCTTTTGTAACCATTGGTCAGGTAACACTGTTCTAAAGTGTTAGAGAAGCTAGTTCTGTTTTTGTTAGTTAGTTAATGTAAAAATAAAATACGGTGATATTATAAAATATGCATGATAGTAAGATTGTAAACAATTTTTTTTTTTTTTTTTTTGGAATTATGGTGAAGGAAATTATTGTTACTGTGAACATATATATGTATTTTTCTCCCTTTTTATCAGCTATATAAAAGCAATTTTATTATTATTATTATTATTATTATTACTACAATAGTATACGTATATATGAAAATTACGATTATTAATATTATGATTAATACTATAGGATATATATATTTTTAATTTTATATATGTATTTTTGTGTAATTAGTCTATGTTAGAAAATGGCTAAATAAAAGGCTCCTCCTCATTTTACAAGTGGGGGAATACGTCTGCCGCGGCGTCATCCATGAGTCACGCGTGCCCCAGCTGAAGTAATGAGTCCCGCAGGTTGTGGGCCCCCTCGGTATTCTCATTGTAGATCATCAGTTTTACCATCGCTCCTCTTTTACCCAGAGGATGGATAATTTGTATCCACCCCTCTTGGTGATCTCCGAGAATCTTGCACAGCAGTCGCGTTTTTTCGGGCCATTCCGTAGCTCTTCTTACTACGGGGCCCGTGTGCGCCAAGCCGCATTTGATGCTCTGCCATGGCAATTCTCGGAATCTGTCTTCCAGAAAGTATACTTGGCCCATCGGTTTCCAGACTGCCATGCCCCAGTCCCGCAGAGAGATTTTCACCATGGACGTCGCTGTGTTTACTCTTATAATGAGACCGCGTTGCCAGATGTTTTTTATGATATTTGAATGGCGCACGATTCATCTTCTCTCAAGTCTTCGGGCCAACAGTGGAGGTAGTGACTTCATCGGTCCATCCGAAGGTGAGCTCTTCGATGAGCTCTACTAAGTCTCTCTCTCCGTTTTTCATTTGGACCCAGAAGAATAATGGGGACTGCGCGAGTTATCCGTACTTCCAATCGTTCGCGGGTTAACTCGTGGGTGTTGATGTTCTTGATTTCCATTTTCTAAAAATAGGTAAGACTTGTTTGATATAATTGGAAAGATTTTAAGAGGGGCTCACTGGTTTAGGTTGATGGAGAGGAAGAGAGGAGAAGACGTTTAGTGATTGAATATTTTCGTCTCTTTTTTTTTTTATTAATGAACAAAAATAAAAAACTAAAAATTGATTTTTTTTCTCTCTTTTTTTATTCTCTTATCTCTAACGTATAGGTAGAGTTTTTTTCCGGTCGTAGTAGAGGATATACCGCATTCATTTCCATGGCGTTATGGGTTTCTTGTTTAGTGAGTTTTATTGCTTTATTATTTTCCTGCGGTGCGCTTGGCGGTGGTGGTGGTGGTGGATTCGGCTGTGGTCTTTCGGGATCCCAGATCGCTCCAAGTAGATATATTGACCATCCGTACACGGTATGTAAAGCATATCCATGCACAATTGTGTCTAATATTAACCCTGAAACTCTCGCAATTAGATATATGCCGAGTAGTCCAGCGCTGATATTGCCGAAAAATAGAAACTTATTCCAGAATTTTTTCCAAACGGAAGCGGCTATCTTTTCCATTGATGCTTCATCCAATAAATTGGAAATGGAGCCCCCCTGTAGAGAGGTGGATCTTCCCATTACTCCTCTTGCTACGGTGTTGAGTACTGATGGTCGCTCGGTCGGAAACATTATATGATCTCTAAGATCTCTTAACTCTCCTTCAGAATATATGCCATTAGTGGCTAGTGACCCTGGGTTGATGTACTTCCAAGTAGGCTTGGTTAATGGTTTCATAATGGTTGGTGGTAAAGTATCTACCGGATTAGGTATAAATTTGTACCATGAATCTCCTATGAGGTACATGGCAGATGCAAATGGATTGCATGCAATTTGTGTTCCGTGTTGTAATAATATATGAGTCTGAGGCGTTAAGAAATGTGTTCGATTTTCTCGGATTACTAGTAATTGATCGTAACATTCTTTTGTTCTTGCGAGTTTTACATCTATTGGTACGCATTTGACTATGTGAATTACTTCCCCTGCTAAAAGAGACATATATCCAGGTTCTTTCATTAAATGATATGCGAAAATATCAGGTGCTTGAGTAGCTATTGCTAATGCGTTGTGTAACATTCGTTTTTCTAAATTACATTGATGTAGTAATAAATTTCTATAAAGTTCGTTTATTTGAGTGCGGACATGTTTCTCTACGTATACGAATTTAGAATATAGGTAAAAATATCGAGATTGGAGATTCCAGATTGCTTTTTAAAGACAGTGGTACCGCGTACGGTCTCAAAAATTAGTAATTTAGGATGCTCTGTTGTTATTAATGGATATCCACATGTATTGTATTTTCCTTTGCTAGTCAGTGCAAATATTGTGTCTTGTGTGGTTAAAGAGTAAACTGTTTGCGGATGATCTTTATCTTTATCGACTATTTTGTATGCGTACCCCTCGAATAATATTCCGAAATTGTAAAGTTTGCAAGTATCGGTAGGTACTGGATCCCAGTACGTATCTCCCCCTTCTACATCTGTGCAGTGTGTGGAGCCAAATTTACATGCTACACCCGACCTGAATTGCACTCGATTAGTGTTTATTTTTACGTCTACTATATAATCTTGTAGTGTAATTCTTACGCTTGCAAGTACTATTACATCTGTCCATGTTCCATAAGGATCGGAATATGCTCCTCCGATACAGCCTCCGTCGTTGTCCACACTGCCAGCGAGTGTTATTGGACGTGTAGTGGTTTGATTTGATTTTAAACCAGTTATGTAAGTATTGGCCATTTGATAGGTACCATAATCGTGCATTCTTCTGCATATATCGCGAGGTATTTCTTCTATGTATGAATATTTTCCGTTATATACATCCATGGTATGAGAGAACATTCCACATTTTTTTATTAATCGGTCAATTTCAACTTTACACTGTATTACTTTCACAGTTTCAAATTCGTTAATTTGGAGCAACTGCATATATACTTGTTCACGTTTAACATCTTGCGGTGGAATGTCACACTCTTCGATGGTTAATAAAGATAGTGTCGTTAGATTTGCTGAAGAAGATCCGCAGTCATACCCTATTATTCCAAGAGTTTGATAAATTTTTATTAGCACTACCAGTATCGCAATTAATCGCTTAATGTTGAGGTCCATCTGAAAGTTTACATAATTATTTCTTTGATAATTATTCCTTATCGGTAGGTTTGATATATGAAATTCGTAAGCGGTTAGGATGTACAACTCGGCTATTTTTCTTTATTCTAATTTTGACGTTATTTTTATTAAAAATTTCTAGAACTTCGTGAGGCCCAGTATATTGATCTCCGAATTTACCCGGTTTTGGACCTTTTAATAAAAATACTTGATCTCCCGGTTTAAAAGTTTGTGGGTTAATTTTTCTATCGTAATAATTTTTTGATTTAATTTTAGCTTGAATAACGTTATCGCGTGCATTTCCCTGAATTGCGTGAAGTTGAGTTACAAGATTTATTAAATACTCATCGTAATTTGCTAATTTATCCCCAGGAGGTAGAAGTTCGTTCGATGGAACACGTGCTATCTTTCCAAAAACCAGCTCATATGGAGTATGCTTTGTTGCTTCATGTACGCTCGTATTATAATTAAACATGGCAAGGCTAATCCATCTATCCCATTGTTTTTGTTCATTCGCGTATTGTTTTAAATATTCGCCTAATGCGTGATGTGATCTTTCTAATGATCCGTTTGATTGAGGATGGAAGGCTGTTGTGCGAAATTTACGAATTTTAAATAATTTTGCAATTTTCTTTATCAGATCGCTAAGGAAATTTCTGCCTTGATCCGTTAATATTGCTTTTGGTGCTCCAAGTACGCAAATAAATCGATCTACAAAAGCTTCTGCGATGGTTTCGGAAGTTTGATTCGGTAATGGTATCCCCATGCAAAATTTAGTTAATTGATCTTGTAATGTTAGAATATATTCGTTTCCCCTTTCAGTTTTAGGTAAAGGGCCTACGATATCCATGGCTACTTTATCAAAAGAAGATCCTGGTGTGTCTGTGATTATCATTGGTTGTTTCGTTTTTACTCGTACAAGTTTTTTCAATTGACATTGTAAACATTGCTGTATATACCGTTGAACATCTGCTTTCAAGTTTTCCCAGTAATAATTATGTTTTATTCTGTTATAAGTTTTTGTGACTCCCCGGTGTCCTCCCGTCGGTAAGCAATGCATTTCACTGATTATAACGGAACGTAAATCTTTCGGTGGATATTTAATTAGTCCGTGGCAAATAATAACTTTAGTAGGAGCGTCGGTGAATATTGATTGTATATGTGATTTGACGTCATTCCATGGAACATTATTAATAAACTCGGTTTTTGCAATACTAAATGTTTCTAATTTTAAATCTTCGGTTATTTTCCGTAAGTCTGTTAAGATTTTAACAATTTGTTTAAGAGTAACCGTAGGGCCTTCTCGTTGTTCTTCGCTGACAGGTAAAGCCACATGATAATGATTTTTATGTTTTATGGCCTTAACCTTTCCTAGAACAAGGGATCCTAGATTTGGAAGCTCTTTTCTTTCGAAAAGTTTTTGTGAGCCTGAATCTAAAGATCTTCCTTGGGTGTCAACAAAATATACTATATTATCTTTTCGTAAAAATAATAATTCTCGAGAGTCTATGACATTACCATGAGTTGTTCTATTTTCAATAAATGCAGATTTCGTTTTTCTTGATTTTAAATTTTTGTTAATAATATTTTGTTCGTTTTCTTCTTCGTCTTCTTTTTCACTGTCAGAAATTTTATCAGGCGGATCATTTCTTTCTTCGATTTCTTCGATCTCTCCCTCGTCACTATGCAATTCGTTGATTATTTTATTTTGCTCAATACTTTGCCTTGCAGTTCGGCTTCTCGTTTGAATTTTATTTTGTTTAGGAGGATCGTGTATTAAAGCTTTTTCGGTAATTGATAAATAATCTGGTTCGTTTAATTCTGTTTGTGTAAATGGAAGAGTATCGTTATTGTTATTTAATAAATCGCTTTCAGCTATTATTTCTTCGTTTTCTTCCATATCGGAAAGATATAAATTGAAATCGTCATCTCCTTCTTCTTCTTCTTCGCTATCGGATTTTTCTAATAGTTCGGCAATTAATCGTGCATCTTTAGGGTTATCTGGGTTTAAAAGTTTCTTGTTTTTTATAATTTTACAATCTATTTCTTCGATATTTACAGGATTTCTGGATAATGCGTCTGCGTTTACGTTTGTTTTTCCCGCTTTGTATACAACCTCATAATCATATTCTGCTAATTTTAATCTCCAACGAAGTATTCGCATATTTGCGTCTTGTGCGTTTTTAAACCACATCAATGGTTTATGATCTGTAACTAAAGTGAATTTTCTTCCGTATAAGTATGGTCGAAAATGTTTAACGCAATATACAATAGCTAGTGCTTCTTTTTCGTATGTATCGTATTTTAATTCATTATCTGTTAAGGTTCGTGAGGCGTATGCTATCGGTAGGTCTTTGTTTATCTCTCCTTGTGATAATATTCCTCCGACGGCTATTCCAGATGCATCGGTCGTTAAAATGAATGGTTTAGAAAAATCTGGGTATTGCAGTATTGGTTCTTCGCATAGTTTTTGTTTTAAAATTTCAAAAGATTCTTCTTGCACAGATGTCCACTCGAAGCGGGTGTCGTTTTTTAATAAATTTGTTAATGGTTTGGCAAATTTTGAAAAATTCGGTATAAAGCGTCTATAATATCCTGCAAGTCCTAAAAATTGTTTAATATTCTTAGGTGTTTTAGGTCGTGGAAATCGTTGTACCGCTTCTAATTTTTTCGGATCTGGTTTTACTCCGTCTTTACTGATTACGTGTCCCAGATAAGTTACTTCCGTTTTTAAAAATTCGCATTTGTCTGGCTGTAATTTTAAATTAGCTTCTCGAAGACGTTCCATTAAAGCGTTGTATTTTCTTTCGTGTTCTTCTAAAGACGTTGCATAGATAACAATATCGTCCATATAAACAAATAATTCCTTGCCTTGTAACCCAGTTAACACTAAGTCCATTAGGCGCTGGAAAGTAGCCGGAGCATTTTTTAGACCGAACGGCATTCGATCAAATTCGTAATGTCCAAAAGGAGTAGTGAAAGCTGTTTTATGACCATCTTCGCGGTTCATTTTTATTTGATGAAATCCAGATGCTAAATCGCATACTGAAAAATATCGAGCTCCTCCTAATTGGTCTAATATATCGACGATATTTGGTAAAGGATATGCGTCTCCGATAGTTTTATCATTTAAAGCGCGAAAATCTAATACCATTCTCCATCGTTTATTTCCTTTGGAATCTTCTTTCTTAGGTACAATCCATATAGGCGTGTTATATGGTGATTGTGAGTGTTTTACAATTCCTCCTTCTAACAGTTCTTCTACCTGCTTGTTTATTTCCTCTTTATGAATTTGCGGAAATCGATACTGACGAGTGTTTATTGGTTGGTCATCTGTAGTAGGTATTCGATGTTGTAATACGTGAGTTGCGGTTAATTTTTCTCCAGGAATATGAAATCGATCTTGACTGTCCGTTATTAATTTTATAATGCTTTTTCTCTCTGCTTCATTTAAATGTTCTAATCGCAATGATTCTATGATTTCGGCGGGTCGATTCTTTCCCTTTTCTTCGGAGATTGTTAGACAATTATGCAAATTATAATTATCAACTTCTTGTTTTCTTTTATATCTTGTTTTGCGTTTCCGCATAAATTTTTCTAAAATTTCTTGAGATTTATTCAACAAGGATATAAGAATTTTTGAAGACGGTTTATTTTTATTTTTAGTATTTCGTAGATTCGAATTTTTAATTTTTAAATTATATTTTTGAGCCTCTTCAAGGAGGTCTTTCATTGCAACATGAGAGGTTTTTAGTTCATTATCATTTTTTTCTTTAAATAATCCAACCTTAGGAAATTTGATATCTAGGGAGAATAAAGGACTTCTCCTTTTTTTGAAATAAGGTTTTGCCGAAATACGTAGTGAGGTTTTATAATTTTCCTCCTCGCAATCGACGGAGCTAGGATTTTCTGACAAGGTTTGGAAATTTCCCTCCGAAATCCTAGAATTATTCCCTTCTTGAGAGGATTGGTAATTTCTCTCGTCGAGGGTTTTTAAATTAATTAAATTTTTAGGAGAGGTTTGGTAATTTCCCCCTCCAGGAATGGTTGGATTTATTAGATTTTCAGGAGAGGTTTGGCAATTTCCCTCTCCAAAGATTTTTGAATCATTCAATTCTTTATTTTTCCTCTCGGTTTTATTTTTGATCTTGTCTTTATTTTTA